GTAGTATAAAACACATCTTTGCAATTACTTTCTGAGCTCTTTTAGCATTTACCTGTAACATTTTATACCAAACACATTCAAATCTTACCTTCCCGCATATACTGGGAAGTTCAGTGTCTGGTAAGTTCTTAAATATTTACATCTTAATATAGGGAAGAAAATTATGAAACGGTGAAAGGAGCTAGAGCAAAACCATTTTATGATATCATTTTATTTGTTTTTGTTTCTAAAAGAATGTCATCATTAATACTTTAAATATTAGAATAATCTGATTTCACACCTTTCTTAATAAACTTCAGTACCTGTTGAAGACTGGCATGCCATATATCAAATGCCATCCAGTTTAACAATATACACAAATATTCTATTGTTATAAAGAATAAGAGCTTATATCAATAACCAGTGACCAGTCATATAACACCTTACTTTTTAGACTTTTCTTAAATTGACCCAACAAAGTAAGTGCTGTAAGAGCTAAAGAATAGTGCCAGGGAAAAGATGCTGAGGAAATGAAAGCAGTGTTTATGCTTTTCTGAGCAGTTGGTCATAAAGAGATGTTTATACTTTTGTTCATTAGAGTACCAGTATTAAATTTTTTGAAATAAATTGATGATGGGTATGTGTGTAATTATTTTACTTTCTGATGTTTAAGGGATATTATGTGCAGATTCAGCCTACTGTAATCATGTAATTTTGCTGTTGCTTTTGGCTAACTCCTTTTTTGGAAATCCCACTTTCTTTTTTTAAATAGTTGGCTATGAATGTGTATATTTAAAATTCTGAATTAAAATGATATTACTACAAGTAGAGTTAAAGTAACTAGAAAACTTTATTGATTTTTCTGACATTTACTGTACCTAAAATTAATCACCACCAGCTTGTGCTAAAGCAGCAAGAAGTTCTTATATAGTTAAGTAATAAGTGTCCATTATTTCTCTTAATTTTATCAATCTTTTTACTATAAGAATTCTCTCAAGAATACTCTCTTAACTTTCCTCTCCTCACAGCCCCTCTCCCTTCTTTTCAAAGCTCCAACCTCTTACAGACAAATTTGAAAATGTTATAAGCACAGACTGTATGTTTTGAAATTTTAAAGCAGTAATACTTTTTTTTTTAAATACTTTTTAAAAAATTGAACCTTTGGGAAGAATAAGAAATGAACATATTTATTACTTTGAATTTGTAAAACTTTCCAAACAGAAAGTAAAACTATACAAAGCTAGTATCAGTCTCTCACATTGTTCACAAATAAAGTACTTTTGGTAATTGATTAAATCATTGATTATATTTAATGGAAAATACATGAAACATGAAACTATTTTCTAGCACATTAAAAAATACTTAAAAAAATTTTTTTTTTACTGGCTAAGAAGCTACATACTTAAAATTGACCCTAAACAAGAATTTTAAATAAGCTAAACATTTAAAAATCACCCTAGGGCTTCCCTGGTGGCACAGTGGTTGAGAGTCCGCCTGCCGACGCAGGGGACGCGGGTTCGTGCCCCGGTCCGGTAAGATCCCACATGCTGCGGAGTGGCTGGGCCCATGAGCCATGGCTGCTGAGCCTGCGTGTCCAGAGCCTGTGCTCCGCAACGGGAGAGGCCACAACAGTGAGAGGCCTGCGTACTGCCAAAAAAACCCCAAAACACCCTAATGTCATTTAAATCATCGTTACATAATGGTGTCTGATTTACATGTGATGTGCAAGAAAATAATTGAATTTACTTTTTTGCCCGTATTAATTTAAGATTTATCCAATTTCATTTCTCCACCCCCACAAGTCATGTATAAGAGGAGAATAAGGAAGGCAGTATAGTTGACCTTTGAACAGTGCAGGAGTTAGGGATGTGGTCAAAAATCCATGTATAACTTATAGTTGGCCCTCTGTATACACGGTTCCTCTACATACGCAGTTCTGCATCTGTGGATTCAACCAACCATTGATTATGTAGTACTGTAGTATTTACTGTTGAAAAAAATCTGCATATAAGTTAGACTCACAGAGTTCAAATCCATTATGTTCAGGGTCAATTATACAGTTCTGACACAGTGACTTTTTACTATAGAGACTACCAACCATCAGCCTTCACATTAAAAAGTTGATTGGTTATACCCAACTCTAAGATTCTATTTAAATTATCTGTTTGATCTGGAGACAGGGTGGGATCAAGATGGAGTAGGAAGACCTTGAACTCACCTAGCCCAATGAACACATCAAAAATACAACTATGTATAGAGCAATTCTTCGTGAAGGAGACCTGAAGACTAGCAGAACAGCTCTTGTACAACCAAGGCTGTTGTACACAGAGTCTGGTAGGGAGGAGAAGCATCCTAGCCAGGATCCGCATCCGTAGCTGGTGATCCAGAAGATTGGGATGTCACAGGCTTGGGATCGTTTCTAAGGAGCAAGGAATTCACACCCCATATGAAGCATCCCAGTCCTGGGGTCTGGCACTAGGAAGACAGCCCTCTTAGTTGGTTTGAAAACCACTGGGGCTTACTGGAGGGCTGTAAGAAACTGAGACTCCACTCTTGAAGAGCACACACAGATTTGCTCCCAGTCCCAGCACAGACCAGCAGATTGAAAACTGTCTGGTGCTCTGGCCAGCCTGCCAGGACACCCCAGGGTACACTCCATTCTGCACCAGGATGCCACTCCAGTCCTGCCTGAACTGGCACCATTCCCCATTAAGGTGGAGACTGCCATTGCCAACACACATGTATGCACTGGGAAAAAAGGATAGCCAGCTCAGAAGTGAAACTACAGCACCTTGGCCGCAACCTCACCTCTGACCAAAGCAAAGACTGCCACCACAATTGCACGTGTGCGAATGTACTAGGGAAAGAGCAAGCCAGCCTAGAGGTGGGGTTCCAACCCCTTGGGCCCTGACCCCACCTCTGACCAAGGTGGAGCCTGCCATTGCCATCACGTGTGTGTGCGTGCACTGGAGAAAAAGCAAAGCCAGCTCAGAAGTGCTGTTCCAACCCCTCAGCCCCAACACCACCCATAACCAAGGCAGAGACTGCCATCATGCCAGGAAGAAACTTAACTTCCTTAGGGCTCCTGCTCAAGCCCCGTGGACTTGGTCCCACTTCCCAATAGGGTGACAACCACCACTGAGCCTGGGACAAGTCCCAGCTCACATCTGACTCCAGCTCTGTTCCCTTGGACACTAGCCATACCTCCCATCAAAGCAGCTGCCATCAGCACACCCCAGGAGAAGACTGCTCCCACCAAAGCCACTGGGCTAACACAGACTGCATAAGGAGGCTCCCACAGGACATGCCTACAAGACCATAATAGGTAACAGTTTCACCTAATTTCATAGAGACAAATAGGGAAAGTCAAAATGAGAAGACAGAGTTATATATTTCAAATGAACAGGGGGGGAAGAAACCCCCGGGGGGGGGAATGAAACATAATTTACCTGATAAAGAGTTCAAAGCAATAGTAAAACAAAAAACAACAATAAAACACACACACACGAAACAGAAAACACACACAAAAAAAACTTGGGAAAAGAATAGAGGAACACAGTGAGAAATTCAAAGAACTATGAAACATGAAAAAGAACCAGTCAGAACTGAAGAATAACTGAAACAAAAATACATTAGAAGGAATTAACAGCAGATTAAGTGATAAAGAATAATGCATAAGCAATCTGGAAGATAGAATACGGGAAATCAAATCAGAACAGCAAAAAGAAAAACTTTTTAAAATGATATTTCAAGAGACCTCTGGGACATCAAGAATACAAACATTCACATTATAGGGGTTGCAGAAGGAGAAGAGAAAGAGGTTGAAAATATATTTGATGAAATTATGGCTGAAAACTTCCCAAACCTGAAGAAGGAAAAAATGTCCAGGTACAGGAATTACAGAGTCCCAAACAAGATGAATCCAAAGAGATCCACACCAAGACATCATAATTGAAATGTTGAAAGTTAGAGAATCCTAAAGACAGCGAGAGTAAAACAAAGATGCTTTTTTTTTTTTTTCCTGCATTGGGTCTTTATTGCTGCGTGCAGGCTTTCTCTAGTTGTGGCGAGCAGGGTCTACTCTTCATTGTGGTGCACGGGCTTCTCGTTGTGGTGGCTTCTCTTGTTGCAGAGCACGGGCTCTAGGTGCGTGGCCTTCAGTAGTTGTGGCATGTTTGCTCAGTAGTTGCAGCACATGGGCTCAGTAGTTGTGGTGCACAGGCTCTAGGGTGCGCAGGCTTCAGTAGTTGTGGCTCACGGGCTTAGTTGCTCCACGGCATGTGGATCTTCCCAAACCAGGGCTCGTGTCCCTTGCATTGGCAGGCAGATTCTTAACCACTGTGCCACCAGGGAAGTCCATGGACTTGAATATTAGATGCTTTTTATGGTTAAATTTTATAGGTGTGATAATGGTATTGTGATTACATAGGAGAATGTCCTTACTCTTAGAAGATACATGATGACACACTCAGGGCTGAAGTTTCATCACAAGTAAAGACATCTAGATAAAGCAAATATGGCAGAATCAGCTATTGACTCTAGATATGTCTGCTCACTGAATCTTTCAAATTTTCTATTTGTTTCAAATTTTTGATAAGGAAGAACTGGGAAATATATTGACCAAGAAAATGTTTATATCGTTTACTGAAATATTGCTTGAATATCCCATTTGTGTAAAACGTTAAATAGTTGTGTATGTTATCTAAGGTAGATGAGGCTGTGTGTGATAACCTGTTTTTTTCAGTTTGTATTTTTACTCATCTAACAATTTTGTGTATTGCAAGTGTCAACTGAAAAAGAATGCACAACCTAAAAGTTGAGAGTTATGTTTTATGAGGCTGACATTCTTAGGACTTCAAGCCGGAGAGGCAGCATCTCAAGTAACCCTGAGAAAACTGCTCTGAGGAGGCGAGGGGCAAGCCAGGATATATAGGAGTTTTGCAACAAAGGGCAGGTAGTCGGAACAAAAGATTATCGTTAATAATAGTAATAATTTAAAAAACTAGGTATCTCAAGGAATTTAGCGCTTTTCTACGTATGGGAAGATGCAAGAGTCTGGGCTCACTGAAACCATTCCTTTGATACGCACCTCAGCGATCTGGGGCCAGTATCCTGTGTTTTCGAGTTTCCTCAGGTCTCACTGTGGGGAGTGGCTGCAATCCGATGGCTGGTAGATGGCAGGTATTGTTTCCTTTCTAAGTTCCCTCAGGGCTCACCGGCTCACCCTCGGAGGTGGCTGCAATCGTTGATGACTATGACCGTTGATGACTATGACATCCTTTGTTTACTGACATGGCAGGCAATATTCCATTTCTCACAAGTAATTTTGAGAAGCTGGCATCATCACACTTTATCATGATTACTACTACCGCCAATGCCACCAGCACTGGGCTGCTGTGCCTTCCTGGGAGAAGCCCTGCTACCACCAGGTTTGTTTTCAAAGTTTGCACTGCGGGTCTCTTCTCTGGTCTCTTCCACCCGCGTCAGCGTCTGGGCTAGCACAGCAACAGCCTCACACCGGCTCCCAGGCTGCGATCAAAGTGGCTCAGGTCCCACCCCCAGCTCCGGGGCGGGGCTCCAGCCGCGAGGCCTGTCGGGGGTAACACCTTCGGGGTCGACAGGCCCTCTGGCGCATGCGCCGCCCTGCGCGCAGCTTCAGTCGGGGTGCGGCGGGCACTGGAGCGCGGTTGGCGCTTGGCCGGTGCAAAAGGCGGCAGAGCTTGAGGGAGGGGCGGGGTTCAGGCCCCTATCCCGGCCAGCGGCAGCTGCTGCAGTGGCTTGTTCGCGTCCGGTCCTTGTACGCTTACCCGTGCCTGCGCCTGCGGGTCCCCAGAGAGGGCGCCGTAGTGTTGGCAGCCACTGTTCTGAGGCCGCAGCGCACTGGGTGAGGACGGCAGGGACTCCTCGCCCTCCCACTGTATTAGGCCCGGAAACTGACTCAGAGTGGCTAGCGAGTGCCTCAAGACCGCAGAGCCGGCGGAGGAGGCACATCCACATCTGCTTCCTCGCTAAAAAAACAATTCTGCCTAAACGTTGTGCCCGTCCCTGCACTGAGCCAAAGGACATCGCTGTCAAGTATAACGTGGACTCTTTTCTCATGGGGCACTTGTATTTCTGGGATTCTTGGTGTCTCTTCGGGGGTCTGGGATCATAGTTCATAGTGGTTAGTTCTGGGGCTGGTATGAACTGTCCAGCCTGTGTGTTTTCAATGGTTCTGATTTGAGTTTACTGAAGGACCTACCCAAGATTTGGGGGCACAGGGTGTTCCAAGATTTGGGGCGCTCATATAGGTTCCAACTAAAATGATTTTGTCCCTTAGGCTCAGGTCCTGATTCCTAGGAACAAAGCCGATCTTGTGAGGTAAAGAGGAATCCCACCTGGAAGATGGCTCATATGAGTGGAGACCTTCCACCAGGGCTGCAGAACAGAGGAGGATCAAGGCCAAGAAAGAGCAGACCCTAGATTTGCACAGCCGCTTGCACCATGCACCATGTGATCCTTGTGCTCTGCAAGCCACCCGTCAGACTGTGAGAACCTGAGGTGTGAGCCAGGTTTCAGGAGAGGGAGCTGGGCTAAGGCAAGGGGCAAGTCTGCCCAGTAAATTATATAGTCTGGGGGAGAGAAATACCACCTACCACTAAGAAAACTTATCTCAGACCTTCCTAACAGCCTTTGACTTCTTTCAGATTCTCTATTCTTTCCAGTGCCTGAGGGGGCCTCACCCTATGCCCTTTATCACCCGTGACATTGAGAGACGTGGATGCTTCCTCCATCCTGACTTCACAGACACAGGAAGTAGTGAAGGAAAGAGCTTCCTGGACTACTTGCTTCTGCCTAGGATGAAAGATGAAAACCACTGAGCCCAAGAGGATGAATGACCAGGTCATCCCATTCGTAGCAACCTAGCCAATAGTCAGATTTTCCGACATAGTTAAGTCAAACCCAGTTTCTATTAAAAGACTGAGAATCTACTGCCAAGGTAGTTCAGGACCAAAAGATGTTCTACAGGAGGACATTTTATCCTGCTAGTGTGTGGAGCTTATAGGTAGGAGAATCCAGGAGATGCAAGGCAGATCAGATCTCTTGTGATCTATTCTTTCTTTCTCCAGCCCAACTTTGTAGTTCACTACGTGTTTCCTCGATCCACAGAAAATGAACAGATCTCAGGTGGTTTGTTTATTTTTTCCCTCCTTTGTTTACAGTGTCTTACATGAGACTTTTTAGGGTTAGTAGGTTAGAATGGAAATATAGAAATAGATGAAAGTCAACTTCAGGGATAATAGGAACACATCAGTATCAGGATGAAGTACTATGCAGTTATATGCAGGTTATATGCTATTACTAGACTATTCTGTGCTATCATTGACCGAATTTGTCTGATTTTTCTGATAGTCATAGAAAAAATGCAGATGTTCTTTGTTACATGATTTGCATTGGCCCTTAAAGAAATCATCATGTGAATTCCTCATGAGGCATTAAGAATTCTAAAGAAAATGTTCCTTTCCTAGTCTTACTGTAGGTATCATAGTAAGTAATCTTTCAGTGACTATGGGAAATGGGTGCAGCCAGCTGCTTGTAATTGCTCCTCAGGGGAAGCAGGACACTTTGTGCCAAAGGAGAACTCAGTCAATTGAGGTTTCCAGGGGCTTCTCACCGTGGTCTTGTAGACCTCTTCCTCATGGTCCCGCTTGATCCGGGCATAGAACCAGGGATATCTGCAAGAAAGAATGGATTATGTCACCTTCAGATAATCTCTGTAATATTATGTATAGATTGTGCAGCAGATAGATTAAAGTTGTATTTTCTGGCACACGCTTTCCCAGTGCCCTTTTACGTTTCAAACTGCATCACTTGTTGGATCTGTCTGGTAAGGAACACCGGTGACCTTATTATGACAAATGTCGTTGATCTTATAGTATTTGCCTTAATTGAGCATTCTATCCAGTTGACACTCATGTTCAGTCCCTTCTAGAAAGTGTTGATTGGTTTCTGGTCTCTTCCTCTGTGGTGATTTCTTTTCTCAATGGAGTCTTCTTCCTCTTCTTGCCTCTTATTACTGCTTCTCCCAAGGTGTCCATTATTGGTCCCTTATTGTCCTCACTCTCCTGGTCTTGCTGAGTGATCTGTTTTCCTGTCTGGGGATGCATCATTTGCTGGGATGCTTTTCTGGCTCTCCAGCCCAGACCTCTCCCCTACCTTAGACCCAAATGGCCAACTCTCTGCTGGACATCTCTGTATAGCTCTTCTAAAGGCCCGTCATACTCTACAATCCAAAAGGAAAGTTGTTATTAACAGCTCCCCCAACTTTCTCCTTTATTTCCCATCAAATGTTATCACCAGCCAGTCCATCATCCCGGTGAAAAACCCAGTATCTATTTCTAAGTGCTGTCCTTTACCTGCTACCCGCATATCCAGTCAGTGATCAAATCTTGTTACATTCAAGTTATTAATATTTCTTTCTTTTTTTGAAATTGAAATAAAGTGCACACAAATCCTCGGGGTACAACTTGATGAATTTTTCATACGTGCTACAGCTGGATAGCTATCACCCAGCTCAAGATAAAGGCCATTTTCTGTACCGCAGAAGTCTTCTTTTCTTTCCAAGACTGTACTTGCCCACTCATTCAAAGGTAATTATTATTTTGACTTCTGTTATCATATATTAGTTTTGTCTCATTTTAAACTTCATACAAATAGAGTCATGTAATATATAATCTGTTACGTCTGACTTTTACTCAACATTATGTTTGAGGTCATCCATGTGTAGCAGTAGTTTGGTTTTTTTCCCATGGTATGAATGTACCAGTTTATCTATTGTGTTCTGAAAGGATATTTGGGTTGTTTACAATTCTGGCTTTTGTACACATGTGCACTTGAATCTGAGGGATAGAAACCTAGGAGTGGAATTGATGGGTCATAGCATGCATACATATGTTTAACCTTGATAGATTCAGCCAAACGGATTTTACAAAGTAGTTGTACTGCTTGATACTCCCGCCAGCGGTATGTGAGAGGTTCTCTTGTGCCATCGCCTTGTTAGCATTTGGTATTGTTTGTGAGGTTTTCTTTTTCTTTTTTCTTTTTTAGTATTTGGTGGGTGAGTGTAATGGTATCTCATTGTGGTTTTAATTTGCATTTCTCAGATTGCTGATCATGCTGAGGATCTTTTCATGTTTTCTAACCATTTTGATATCTTTTTCTTTAAAGCGTGTATTTGTTTTGATAGTTTTTCTGTGCTGTATTAACTTGGATGTTTATATTTCTAGATATGAGTCCTTTGTCAGATATGTGTACTACAGATATCTTCTTTAAGTTTGAGACTTGTTCTGAATTTTAATTAAGTCCAGTTTATCAATATTTTCTTTAATGGTTAGTGCTCTTTGTGTCCTGTTTAAAAAAATTTTTGCCCATCCCGAAGTCATAAAGGAATTCTCTTATATTCTCATCTAAAAATTAGAATTGTTTTAGCTTTCACATTTAAGCCTATGATCTATTTTGAATTGTTAGATACATATACATGTCTTTTTTTGAGCTATGGCTAGTCAGTTCCCACAGTACCATTTATTGAAAAGACCTTCCTTTCCCCACAGAATTGCAGTGGTGTCTGTTAGAAATCAGGTGACCATATGTGTGTATCTCTTTTTGGATTCTTATTTCTGTTGCAGTTGCCTCTTTGTCTACCCTATGCCAGTACTGCCCTGCCTTATTATTTTAGCGTTATAAAAAGTATTCATATCTGTGGATATAAGTTGTCCACTCTTGTTCTTCAAGATTTACCATAACTACTTTAAGTCCTTTGTATTTCTTTTTTTTTCTTTAATTAATTAATTAATTAATTTGGTTGCACTGGGTCTTAGTTGTGGCAGGCGGGCTCCTTAGTTGCGGCTCGCCACCTCCTTAATTGTGGCACATGGGCTCCTTAGTTGTGGCATGCGAACTCTTAGTTGCAGCATGCATGTGGGATCTAGTTCCCTGACCAGGGAATGAACCCAAGCCCCTGGCACTGGGAGCACAGAGTCTTATCCACTGCGCCCCCAGGGAAGTCCCAGTTCTTTGTATTTCTGTATAAACTTTAAAATCATCTTGTCAACGCCCTGCCCCCCTTCCCACCCTTCCCTGGGAATCTGCTGGAATTTGGTATTGCATTGGATCTATAGATTGATTTGGGAGTTAGGTTATATTAATATTGACTTGAATTTTCAACTCATGAACATGGCATTTCTCTTCATTTACTTAGGTCTCCTTTAACTTTTCTCAGGAATGTTTGATAATTTCCATGTGTACATGTTTTACTTCTTTTGTTAGATTTATTCTTAGGTAGTTGAAAAATTTTCTCCCTATTTTGGCGTTGCTAGTATATATAGTCAATTTTTGTATATTGATCTTGTTTTCAGTGACCTTACCATTTATTAACTCTAATATTTTATCTGTAGATTATTTTGAAGTTTCCTTCCACACAATTATGTTATATGGATATTTCTTACTTTTTGTCCCATTTAAAAACTTTAATTTCTTTTTCTTTATTGCTGTGGCTAGGAGCTACCATGGAATAGAATAGTACATACTTGTTTTCATCCCAGTCTCAAGGGAAGCGTTTCGATATTTTATCATTTAGGATGATACTTGCTGTAACATTTTTGGTAGAAGTTTCATTCTACTCGTAGTTTGCTGAAAGTTTTTATCATCCAATGGTGTTGAATTTAATTATTGAGTTGATTGTATGGTTTTTTCCTTTATTCTTTTAATGGATTGATATTAACATATTGATTGATGTAATTCTATTAATGTTTCGATTTTCAAGTGTTAAACCAGCCTATTTTTCCAGGAAAAATTCCCACTTGGTCTTGATATTCTGTCATCTTTGAATGTATTTCATGATAAGTTGTTTAGGATTTTTGTCTTTCTTCATGAGAGAGACTTTTATTTACCTTTTTTATAATGTTTTTGTCATGTTTTGTATCAATTGTATATGGCCTCAAAGAAACATGTTAAGTATTTCCTCATTGTCTATTCCCTGGAAGTGTTTGTTGAAGATTGGTATTATTTATTACTTAGTTGTTTGTAAAAATTCACCAGTGAATTTATATAGGGCCTGGATTTTCTTTATGGAAAGTTTTTAAATTATAGATTTAATTTCTTTATATTAGGGAAATTATTTTTTAGAACATGATGTAAGTTGTATTTGCTTCTTCCCAGTTTGTCATCTGTTATCCCCAGCTGGGAGCAGGTGCTTTTTGTCCCAGGGCAAAGCACAATCACACCAAGGGTTTCTCACATTTTGCTTTACTCTACACAAACTTCCACCTTAAAATTGCTACACTAACCCCCAGCGTTCCCATCCCCCTTACCTTAATACACTATGTATTGTGTATTAAGGCACTGCTCCAACACACTCTTCCAAAACACTTCTCATCCAACACTATAGTTTCATTATTACTATGCTGTTTATTGTCTGTTTTTGCCTTCCTGAACGAATATAACTCTCCTGAAGACTGGAGGGGGACATCATTGTTTTTCACTGTTGTAGTCTAAGTGCATAATAAGTATTGAAAAGTTGCTAAGTGAATGAATGAATGAACTTTCATGTGCCGTTTTGTTTTAGGTGTTTCCTTTGTAAGCACCATGTAGCTCAATCTTTTTAATCCAATCTAAGATTTTCTGCCTTTTTGTAACAGACTTAATATGTTATTACTTGGGTGCTTCCTTGTCTTTTGTTTTGTGTTTTATACTTATTCATTCAAATATATATTTTTATATAGTGTGAGGTGTAATTTTTTTTTTTACAAGTAGGCATTGTACATATATTTGACTCAATTCTGGGACTTTTTCTTGTCACTGATGTATTTTTCTTTTGATTAGAGGAGGTTTGTAATAAAAAGTAATATCCCTTTATAGTTTTTATTTTGAACATACCTTTTTCCCCTTTTGAATTAAAAACATTATATCCGGGGCTTCCCTGGTGGCACAGTGGTTGAGAATCTGCCTGCTAATGCAGGGGACACGGGTTCGAGCCCTGGTCTGGGAAGATCCCACATGCCGCAGAGCAACTGGGCCCGTGAGCCACAATTACTGAGCCTGCGCGTCTGGAGCCTGTGCTCCGCAACAAGAGGCCGCGATAGTGAGAGGCCCGCGCACCGCGATGAAGAGTGGCCCCCGCTTGCCACAACTAGAGAAAGCCCTCGCACAGAAACGAAGACCCAACACAGCAAAAATAAATAAATTAATAAACTCCTACCCCCAACATCTTCTAAAAAACAAACAAACAAACAAAACCCCCAAAACATTATATCAGGTATATTTCCTCCCCCTCTTGTAAAAATTTTTAGGCACAACAACCAAAAAAATTGTTTGCTAAATTAAATTGTCTTAAAGTTTTATGTTAGTTTTCTTCCCCCCCAACCCCAGTTTTGCCCATTTTATGTATGAGACATACTGAAAAAAAATGCTTTTGGTTTAATTTAGTCTTCCTCATTTATTTTGGCTTTATTTTAATTTTATTCACTTAAGATTTTATCCTTATTTTTTCATACTTTTTTGATTTGTTTTTTATTTTTCATATTTCTTTTAGCTAAACAAAGTTCATAATTATTTTCAGTCTTTATTTAAAAAATAAGTTAAAGACAATTTTTCTCTGTGACAGCTTTAGTTTTAGGTCTTAAGTTTTCATGTAATGAATTTCCCCCTTTGTTTCTTTCTAGGACAGTAGTAATTTGGATGTTGGTTACTTTTCTTTGATCTAAAGTTTTTAATTTGGAGAATGTCTTATTTTATGAGTTAATGACTTTTTAGTGAGTTTTTAAAATTTTGGTTTTATAGGTCATAATCAGACAAAGTAGCTTGTAAAACCTCTGATTTGTAGGGTTTAGCAATATTGTCTCTGAAAGCACAGCATAACATAACGATTATAAGTGGTGCTTTATTTTCAGATGACCTAGTTCAAATTTAGGGTGACCTTGGGAAGTTGGGTAACCTCTTTCTGCCTCAATTTTCTTATCTGTTAAATGGGAAAAATAGTATCTATGTTATAGGTTTGTCCTGAGTATGAGATAGTATGTATTTAAAATATTGTATGAAAGACATTTTTCTAAGTAACTGAATTTTAACTATCATTAGTAATTACCTGAACATGTGAGTTCAACAAACTCCATTTGATAGTCCTTTCTTGTTGATAGAGATATATTGCCTCTTACCGTGATTGTGGTTTGTTTTCTTTAACCAAATTATCTTGTAACTGTAGCAGTTTTTCTTTTATCTATTTGGACATATACAGATTTGACTTAAACCTTGATTAATTTTTACCATTTATCATTACATCGTATCTGCCTTTGCCCCATTGAAGTTTAAGGCTGCAAATTCTGCTTAATCTGATATGAATAAGACCATGCTTGCTTCCTTTTATTTGCATTTTCTTGTAGTATTTTGTCCATTCCTTCTTTTCTAACCATTCTTTATCACTTTGTTTTAGAGTTATTTTTTGTAAACAACAAATGGCAACATTTGGGTTTTTTTTTAAGACTAATATGGCATGTTAGTCTTGCATAAGAAATATATCCATTCCCATTTTCTGTGATAATTCGTATATTTGGTTTTATATATCTGTCTTAGTTTACTACATATTATTTTTGAGTATAACATAATGCAATATATATCATAATTTATACTATTATACTTCTTTAGAATCTTTACTTTTTCTGGTATATTCAAATTTGTCATTGCTTCATTTTTCTTCTCTGTTAATTTGGTAGTTTTCTGATTTTTAGTTCTCATAGCTACTAACCCACACCTAAATATTATAACTGAGCCATATCTACTAACATATAAGATTACTTTGTTGCTCTTCTGCTGCTCCATGGTGTAATGATTGCTACTTCTCTTCCTCCAGCCCCTCTTAGATGACCTTCGAAAGTTTTAATCCACCCATTACTCCTCCCCACACCCAGGCTCCATTTTAATAATTTTTTTTTTTTTTTTTTTTACGGTACACGGGCCTCTCACTGTTGTGGCCTCTCCTGTTGCGGAGCACACGCTCCGGACGCGCAGGCTCAGGGGCCATGGCTCATGGGCCTAGCCGCTCCGCGGCATGTGGGATCCTCCCGGACTGGGGCATGAACCCGTGTCCCCTGCATTGGCAGGCGGACTGTCAACCACTGCGCCACCAGGGAAGCCCCATTTTAATAATTTATCAGTATATTACTGGCTCTGTTCTTACGGAGAGTCTCTTCTGTTTCAGGAGGTCTTCTTTAATATTATGTTATACATTTCAAATCATGTTAATATTATCCATCTAGTTGTAACCATGTTTCAATAACAAGGTCTATTGTTTCTCACTCCTTCCCCTTGCTTGAGACTTGCTTGGCAGCTTGTTAGTACCTCCTTAGTGTTTTCTCTGCAGAGATTACAGGGGTGATTTATTCCTCGAGGCCCTGCTCATTTGAACACATCTGGTTTTGGGCCTGTCATATGAAAGACTATTTATTTATGTATAATATTCCTGGATTGAAATTCTTTTCTCATAATCTCATTGTCTTTTTGCTTTCACCCCTGCAGAGGAGAAGTCCGAAGCTAGGATGCTTTTCTTTACTTTGCGAGTCAGCTGTTCTTTCATCTAGAAGCTCTTAAGAGTTTATCCTTGTCATTCAGAATTATATAAATGTATGCCTCAGTGTGTCTTTTCATTAATTCTGGGTTGGTGGTTTTCTTCCTTCAACACTTTAGATATTTCACTCCATTCTCTCCTTGCTTGCATTGGATTCTGGCTTGGATTCTGAGAAGTCGGTTGTAATTCTTACCGTTGTTCCTTTGTAGGTAAGGTTCACATTCCACCAACCCCTGGGGCCCAATACCACCCCCACCCCTTCTTTGCTTTTTTCAAGATCTTTTGTATTTGGTTTTCTGCAGTTTGAGTAAGACAGGTTGAGATGTGGTTTTGGGGACATTTATCTTGCTTGATATTCTCTGAGTTTCCTGGATTTGTCATTAATTTTGGAATGTTTGGTTATTACTACTCAGGTATTTCTTCTGCTCTGTTCCTTCTTCTTCTGGTATTCTAATTATGCATATATTATGCCTTTTAATGTTGTGCCACAGTTCTTGGATGTTCTGTTTTTTTCATTCGTTTTCTTTTCACATTTCAGTCTGTGAAGTTTTTGTTGACCTATTTTCAAGTTCACTGGTTCTTTCCTTGGCCTGTTGTGTGATGAGTCCATCAGAGGCATTCCTTGTTTCTATTACTGTGGTTTTGACTTGGAGCATTTACTTTAGATTTTTTTCTAGAATTTCTATTTCTCTGTTTATATGACTCATTTATACTTGAATGTTGTGTAATTTTTTCCATTCAACTCTTTAACATGTTAATTATCATTATTTTACACTCCCTGTCTGATAATTCCAACATTTGGGTTGTATCTGAGTCTGGTTCTGATTATTACTTTGTCTCTTCTTCGTATGTTTTTTATTACTTTTTGGTATGTATTGCAATTGTTTTTTGAGAGCTGGACATGTATCTGGTGATAGAACTGAGGTAAATAAATTTTTAGTCTGAGGATTTGTGTTAGTCTGGCTAGGAGTTGGGCTGTTTTTAATGTTTATTGTAGCTGTAGGCGCCAGAGCCTTCAAATTCCTTTAGTGTCCTTGTTTTTGACTTCCCTAGATCACTGGTTTTTCAGCTTTGGTGTCTCATACCTAGAGGGCTTATTAAAACACTGTTCACTAAGTCCCATGCCCAGAGTATCTGTTTCTGTAGATGCCTTAATCTAATGCTGCATAAGAAAGCACCGCAATATTTCGCAGCTTAAAGGCAACAAGAAACACTTATTGTCTCACGTAGGGGTCTCATGAGGCTGCAGCCATCTGAAGTCTTGACTGGGGCTGGAGGATTTGCTTCTGTGATGGCTCACTCACATGGCTAGCAAATTAGTATTGATGTTTGACAGGAGGCCTCATTTTTTCCCCATGTAGACTTCTCCATAGGGCTGCTTGAGTGTCCTCATGATATGGCCACTGGCTTTACCCAGAGAAAGTGATCCATGAAGGAACAAAGTGGAAGCAGCAGTGTCCTTCTGTGACTTGGCCTCATTGGTCATACTCTGTTATTTCTGCAACATTCTATTGGTTACAAAGGTCAGCCCTATTTAATGTGGGAGAGGATTGTACAAGGGCATTGAGGGAGGAGGTGATGACCATCTTGGACACTGGCTATCATAGTAGGTCTGGAATGGGGCTTGAGAATTTTGCATTTCTAACAAGTTCCCAGCTGATGCTGATGTTGTTGACTTATGGACCACACTTTGAGAACACTGCCCCAGGGAGTACCCAAGAAAAGCTATTGGAATGTGGGAAGGAATTATTAGCATATTGATGTTCAGATATTTGTGTTTTAAAAATAAGAATGAGATTTCATGTACATATAAAGATATAAACAGCCATGCTGGATGAGTGCTCAAACTTTAATTAAGGGGTAAATGATCAAATGTTTTGAAACCCTTAGGCTGGAGGACATATCCACAATAACTTGTAATCTTGCTTATAATCTTGCTCCTAATTATGTCTGTGAGGCTTTATCTTAATACATCTCAAACCCTTTTCTCCTACTGTATAGTTCCATTAACTTATCAAGTATTCTTTTTCTTTTTTGAGCCATGTGTTTTCAAATTTATCAAGTATTTTTTAATGCTTCCATGCCTTTTTTTGTGTCGTTGGCCCATATTTATAAAGAATATGTGATTCATGTGTCAAGACTTAATACTTTACTCCTCAATAAAACTCAACCTGATAATACAAAATAAAACTTAACATTTCTTCCCCCTTTGCAACTGCCCATTTACCTTTCAGAGACTTTTTATCGTTGCTTCTGTAAAATTTGTTGCAGATATTTATGTTTAAATATGTTTTCTGACCTGATTATAAACTCCTTGAGAGCAGGATTAACCTTTTATTTTTCTTTGTATTCCCAGAAATTGGGACAGTTCCTGGAACACTGGCAGGAACTCCTATGCTCTTTGTATGAATTAAGAAATTAATACACTGGCAAGACCTTATACCATGATTCCTCATTTTCCCACAACATATAGTACTGAGAGAAGGGATCCTACATTGCATTTTCTCTTGAACTATTAATTGTGAACATGACCAGGTGTTAGATCCCCAACATATTGCATGCTATCCAGTTCTGGTCACTGTAGATTGAACACAGATGTGCTGTTTCAGGGGCCAGTGTCATTTGAGGATGTGACTATGGGCTTCACTCAGGAGGAGTGGCAGCACCTGGACCCTGCTCAGAGGACCCTGGACAGGGACATGATGCTGGAGAACTATAGCCACCTCATCTCAGTGGGTAGGGATTGTATAATTTGTAACTCCAAACAATATTTGTTTCCTTTTTAGCTGCTGATATAGGTGGTTTCTTTGTAGAGATTAATAATTTATAGATTTGAAATTCAGGAGTCAAAGATGATCCCTTTTGGGCACTACAAAGAACACTTGTGTTCTCTTCCCCAGTGAAATGTTCCAGTGGATTTATTTTCGTGCAGGCTAACTTTGTCCTCCTTTAAAGGTCCTGAACCTCAGGCCACCTGGTCCAAGTCCTGTGTCATTTTCCATTCACAAGGTATTGTGTTACCAAACCAGAGGTGATTTTCAAATTGGAGCAAGGAGAAGAGCCATGGATGTTAGAGGAAGAGTCCCAAAGTCAGAGCCACCCAGGTGAGTTAGCATAGACGTTACTGTAACCTGGGAGAAACTGGATCCCAAGGAGTTAGTTCAGATGTTGGCATGTTTGAGATTTTTTAGGAAATTTTTTTTAGAGTTAATAGAACTTTGGAAGTGACCAAGAATAATTGGCCTTCGTGCCTCAGATGCATATATCACCCTGGCGGATAAGAGCTAAATGGTTTCTTTTTGGGTTTTCTTCCAAAAATCCAATCCTTGCCTCTCTCATTTTAAATATTTGTTGTTCTTTCTACATCAATTTCATTTGTCGTCTTTTAATCATATATTATGTATTAATTCACTAAGTATTAATTTGACATCTACCATATGCCAGGTTTGTCTGTGTGCTGGGGTTGCAACTGCTAACAATATAATGACTGCATTTTAGTGGCAAAAGAGAATGAAATGTGGTGCTCTTTATGAAAGTGATCAGGGAAGAGCCTCTTTAAGATCAATATTACAATGAACACAGATCTGAATGGAGGGGGCCAGTGGATTTTGAATATTCCAGCCAGATGGTATACCCTGTGCCATGAACTTGAGGCCAGAGTGTTTAGTGTCTGCAGAACAGGATAGCATTTGCCAGGATGAAGAGAGATCAGAGAGTTAGAGATGATATCAGAGAGGTAGTTGGTGCCAGTATTTGGCTTTACTGGCTATCAAAAGCTCCTTAATTCTTTTTTTTTAAAGATTTATTTATTATTTATTTATTTAATTATTATTATTTTTTTGCTGCATCAGGTCTTATTTGTGGCACGCAGGATCTTCATTGAGGCGCGTGGGATCTTTCATTGTGGTGTGTGGGCTCTTTGTTGTTGTGCACAGGCCTCTCTCTAGTTGTGGCGGTGGGTTTTCTCTTCTCTAGTTGTGGCTTGCAGGCTCCAGGACGCATGGCCTCTGTAGTTGTGGCGCGCAGGTTCCAGAGTGCATGGGCTCTGTAGTTTGCAGCACGCAGGCTCTAGTTGAGGTGCGTGAGCTCAGTAGTTGTGGTACGTGGGCACATTGTGGCATGTTGCCCCACGGCATGTGGGATCTTAGTTCCCTGACCAGGGATTGAACCCGCATCCCCTGCATTGGAAGGTGGATTCTTTACCACTGGACCACCAGGGAAGTCCCGAAAGCTCCTTAATTCTAATTGAGATGGAGTCATTGGAAGGTTTTGAGCAAAGGAGCACATGTTCTGATTTGCTTCATGTATACCCCTGGCTGCTCTACAGTGGAAATGTTGACAGAGGGGGTGGGGAGGAGGGATGAGTAAAGTCAAGGAGAGCAGTTAGCAGTTCTCCATGTGAGGGATTGTGGTGCCTTAATACCGGCTTGGAAATAGAAAGTAAAGTGACATGATTGGATTCTTGATGTATTTTGAAGTTGTAGCCAAAACAGGATTTGTTGTTAGATTGGATTATGGGTATGAGAAAAAGAATAATCAAGAGAAAAACTGAAAGGTTTTTTTTCCTGAGGCACTAGATGTCTGGTAGTACCTTTAACTCAGACAGGGGAACTTGAAGAGAAGCAGTTCTGGGAGGAAACAAGTAAAGATATGGGTACGTTTATACAAATATTATCTGTATAAATTACAGATGATCCCCAAATTACAGTGATTCAACTCATGAATTTTTGACTTCATTGGTTCAAAAGCAATACCCATTCACTGGAAATTGTACTTTGAATTTTGATCTTTTCCCTGGGCCAGCGATATGTGGTGGTAAGATACTCTCTTGTGATGCTGGGTAGCAGCAGTGAGCCGTAGCTTCCAGTCAGCCACATGACCACGAGGATTAACAACCTTACAACCATCCTGTACCCATACAACTGTTAGTACAGTATTCAGTGAACTGCATGAGATATTCAACGGTATTATAAAATAGGCTTTGCATTAGATGATTTTGCCCAACTCTAGGCTAATGTAAATGTTCTGGGCACGTTTAACGTAGGCTAATCTAAGCTATGATGTTCAGTAGATTAGGGGTATTATATGCATTTTTGACTTTTGATATTGCCAAGTTACAATAGGTTTATGGGGACATAACCTCATTGTAAGGCAAGGAAGATCTGTAGTAGCAATGTTCTGTTGAGTATAAAAACAACAAAAATAAAATATTGAAAAACAGTAGCATGTAAATAATTTATCAGTTGACCAGATTGGTGTTCTAAAATCCTTTTATTTTTTAGAAGTGTTGTTGAGTTAAATATGAATGGTAAAATTTAATGAGTAAATGCTAGAAGAAAGTAATGTATAACTTCTAAACTTTTGAAGGTAAGAAAATAGAAAAGAAAAAAAATATATATATTAGATCAGACCAAAAAAGAACAATGAAAGAGAGGGGAAAAGCAAATAAAAATTAGAATAAGTGGAAACTGTAAGTGAAATGAAGGAAACCAACCTAGATATTTTAGTAATTACAATACATTCAAAAGGACTAAACCCTCTTGTTAAAAGACAGATATTGTCAATTTGGATTTTTTACAAATACAGGTATATGGTGTTTGAAAAGTACATATGAAATATAAAAAGAAATAATGGACTGTATTCCATTATTGGAATGTAGAAAGGAATAGTGATATACTTCAAATATTAAACAAAATAGAATATTAACCCTTGGTATACCATTAGGGATCCAGTGTACCCAATTTTTTTTTTGAATTTCTTTTTGAAGCAGTTCTAATTATTTGCAAGGGTTGTTGTTTTATGACTTTCATAATTTCTTATGAATTAAAATAAAATTTTAACTTGAATGAACAAAGAGAAAATTTACTTATATTTTTAAATGGAATAAAACTCATTTTATCTTGCAGTTTCCACATGGGTGACTTGGTCCCATTTATAAATCTAAGAAATATGGGATTGTTGTGATCTTATTTTAAAGTATTTTGAAATGTTTTGCTACTTCATCCCCCTAGCAATTATTCCAACATTGCTCATCAGTTATGTTCAATAGTGCTAAAATACACTAAAATATAAGAAAATGAATGATGGAAATTCTTGGAAGGATAATGCAATAGTGAAGTAAATCCTCACCATTATATCATCCTTCAATTTTCTTATTCAGTTCTCTGAAGTATTGCTTCAGCTGTAATGAAGGGATGAAAGAAATCTGGAGACCTTATTTGTTGTTTCTTTTTAAATTTTTGTTTATTTATTTTTTGGCTGCGTTGGGTCTTTGTTGCTACATGTGGGCTTTCTCTAGTCGCAGCTAGCAGGTGCGCGGGCTTCTCTTGTTGCAGAGCATGGGCTCTAGGCATGCAGGCTTCAGTAGTTGTGGCTTGTGGGCTCAGTAGTTGTGGCGCATGGGCTTAGTTGCTCCATGGCACGTGGGATCTTCCCGGACCAGGGATCGAACCCATGTCCCCTGCATTGACAGGTGGATTCTTAACCGCTGCACCGCCAGGGAAGTGCCCCTTATTTGTTCTTTCCTTCTTTCTTTAGATTTCATTGAATATAGTTGAGAATTTAGAATTTTTATTTTCTGCCTTTAATTGCAAAGGGCAGAAAATTGACATAAGAATACTTCCCACAATTATTAGACAAATCAGAAGATGAGTGTAAAGAGATAGGGAAAAGTACTCTAGACTCTAATAACAGTGGATAATTGATTGTATAAGTGAAATTCAGACTGTAAGTTTTTTTAAAAATAAATTTTATTTATTTATTTAATTTATTTTTGGCTGCATTGGGTCTTCGTTGCTGCACGCGGGCTTTCTCTAGGTGTGGTGAGTGGGGGCTACTCTTCGTTGTGGCACACGGCCTTCTCATTGTGGTGGCTTCTCTTGTTGCGGAGCACAGGCTCTAGGCACGTGGGCTTCAGTAGTTGCGGCACACAGGCTTCAGTAGTTGTGGCTTGCAGGCTCTAGAGCGTAGGCTCAGTAGTTGTGGCGCACAGGCTTAGTTGCTCTGCAGCATGTGGTATCTTCCAGGACCAGGGCTGAAACCTGTGTCCCCTGCATTGGCAGGCAGATTCTTAGCCACTGCACCACCAGGGAAGTCCCCAGACTGTAAGTTTTAGATGATATGCTAGATGAATAAAGATGTGCCTCTGATCCTGTTGTAAGAATAGCCTGAATGTATACTTCATTTAGGCACTACTATTCATTGTGAATCCCCATGAGAATGCAAATATAGCCTAGGCAATAGCTTTCCTTTTAACTCTAATGAAAATGAGTACTTTCTGAAATTTAATTTGGTGGTGTTATGTGGGATAGAAAAGAGGAGGATGAGGTTGTAAGCATGTACATTAGTGAGGCTCTTGCTTTGATAATGACTAGGCCCTGATTTAATTGTTCCGAGTCTAATTGTTCCTTGATATCTCCCCTTACCATCATTGTCTATTAATTTTCCTTGTGATTCTACTTAATATTTGTTGAGTTGTTGGGCTGATTCTATTAACCTGTGAAGTTCCCCACCCCAAGATTAAGCAGTCATTCAAACATTTTAAATTTATTGTTTGTGTTTATTTCAAATTCTCTATTTTTGAATGTCACAGTTAAAACAAATTGAGGTATAATTGGCATACAACATTTTAGTGTCAAGTGTACAATGTAATGATTTGATATTTGTATATATTGCAAAATGATCACCACAATAAACGTTTTTGAAGTGTCAAATTATTGCATTTTGTTGCCAGATTCCCCATTTTTCACTACTGCAAGTTATTTATTTATTTTTCAAACCTAGAGGAGCAAGGCAGTATGCCCTTGAGATTACTTTCATAGCAAATGACTGGGCTAGAATAAGACATATGAATATGTCTTCTCTTCATAAGAAATATATTAACATGTATAAACTATGGCAAATTATTTTCATTTCTATACTTCTGCATAGTTGACCTGATGGAGAAGAGCCAGGAAAAGGAAGACCAGCATTGGTGGAAAGTTGATTTTGTCAACAACAAAACACTGACTAAAGAGAGAAATAGTGTATTAGGAAAAGCATTTTCTCTGTGTACAAACTCTATTTTATCAAGAAAAATACCTGGTAAATATGACTCATAGGGAATGAATTTGTATTCTCTTTCAGAATTAATCATTAGTAATAGACACTCCTTTGTAAGGCAGCCTTATGAGTTTAATACACATGGGAAATTACTCCTCTGTACAAAGCACAGGTCATTCTAGAGAGAAATCTTTAGAATATGATAGAACTGGAAAAGCCATTAGTCAAAATAAGGACATATTTCAGCATCAAGATACTCAAACTCTGAAGCTTTCTTCTGAATATAGTGAATGTGGGAAAGCCTTCAATGAGGGGGCAACTTTCATTACCCATAAGAGAGCAAGCTCATGGGAGAAGCCCTATGGAGGTAATGAACATGTCAAAGCCTTTTCTGATAGACCAACATTCACTGTTCATCAGGGAACTCATACAAGGGAGAATCACTATGAATTGAATGATTGTGGGAGGTGGTCTGTTGGTGAGAAGTCAACTTTAAATAAGCACTATGGAGTTATCATGGGGAAGAGATACTGTGAGTGTATTGAAAGTGAATAGTTTCAGAAAGAAGTCACTCCTTCAGCGAATTTATAAAGGAGAGAAAACCTTTAACTGTTATGAAGATTGGGAAGTATTCTGCAAGAACCCAAATTTCTTGCAGCATCAAGAAACACATATAGGGAAAGAAGTCTATAAAATTAATCAGTGTGGTACTGCATTTTACAAGAAGCCAAAGCTTCCTACATATCAGAAAACAGATGTAAGAGAAGAACTCTATGAATGTAGTGAATGTGGGAAAACCTTCAGCCAT